AAAAAAAAAAAAAAAAAAAAAAAAAAAAAATACTTTCATCCTCGGTGATATAATAAGACCGATACGTTTAAAAGATTGCTATATACATTTAAATATTAAAGATAACTGCTTGAACGGATTATAAGATGTTTTTATGTTCAAAGTATCATATAAATTGAGCAAATCGATACTTGAGGAAAAGTTAATTTTCTTCTTTATGTTTTCTACTTTATGTCTATCGATGTGAAAGAAAGAATAATAATAAAAGATGACATAAATTCTTATATTTCTAATTAAATATAAGAATTATATTTTTATTATTATATTATTAAAAATACTTTAAACATCGATCTTATCTTATAATTATTATAAAACACGAATATTGTATCTTTGACTTGAAATTATACCTACATATGTATAAATAATTATACTTATTGTTATAATAAACTTACAATACGAATGTAAAAAATGAATAAATTAATTAAGCTGTGACAATGGAAAAATAATGTTTTTTTTTTTACACATACGCATCCTAAATAATAGAAGATTTAGTTTCATAATATTCGAATAAAAAGATAGAAAAGAGAAATAATTCATTCACCTTGTTATATTCCTTTTTGTAAGGAAATAATTTTTTTTTTTTATATTAATTATCTTTGGTATCTATCTTCGAAACAAACGTGAGAAAATTTCCTTTCTTGACGAATATTAGTTCCCATCACCGTTTCTTCTTCATTGTTTCGTTTAAAAGTCGTAATTTCAACCATTGATAAAACTCTATTTCATCCTCAAAGAGTTTAGACAAAATATTATAGCCTTCTTGAGAATTTAACACAAGTGTGGGATCGGGAAAATGTTTATTTTTTGATTCTGAATGATCAAGATAAATTCAAAATCTTAATTTCTCGCTTATAATAGCATATAATATGGAATTGCAATTGTATCTTATATTTACTTACGGATTTTTTTGTAACTATGCTTAGCACCTCGAAAGAAATATGGAAATTTGTATTCTAGTATATCTATCGATTGTTCCATGTACTCCAATATTCCGACAACAGGATACCATTCAACGACATTCGCTTTGGCCCGTTGTAACGCCCATTTATTATTTATTTCTCTATAATTAAGATCACAGAGAAAGATCGAGAGATCGAAATGTGCTAGAAAAAAAAAATATTATTAATCGAATACTTACGAGCATCGAGGATCTTGGCCACAAAATATGGGTATGGCTCTACTTTCCACCATATTTCTTCGTCTCTCGTGATATCTAAAAAGTGGCATAAATGGCATATTCGACGCAAAAAAATTGCTTAAAATTACGCCGATATACTATTACACAACACTGAGTGTACCAATGTATCGTGCAAACGCGTACAAATATTATTCCTAGCGAAATATTCGTGTAAATTCTAGGAAAAAACGTGATTTTTTTTACCTCAGAAAATTTTGTACTCCTATAGGATTCCTTACTAAAGAAATAAATGACGGAGACTCTCGCCCGAACTTTGAAAAGTTTAAGAATCTAACATCCCCGTCGAAACTTAAAGGAATCGCTTCCTGCCTTATGATATTAGTAATTTCTTCTACTAAAAGTTCCTATAAAATAAGATATTAAAGTTATTTACTAAAAAAAAAAACTGTCTTCTCCTCGTCGAAAAATTAACGAAATGATCGAAAATAACCGATAAAAATATATATACGAAATTTTTCATATTTATTAACTTTTCTATCGTATTTCAGTTGCGCTATCTTCTTGAATTCATCTAAACATGCTCCAAATAAGTATTTCCCGCCCGGTTACTTTAATTGGAAAGATGAAAGTGGCACAACTTCGATTGCAACACTGAAAACCGACTGATTCTGGCTCCGAGCGTACAAAGTGCAACGACCATTTTATGATTAAATTTTTAAATTTTTCGAGGATCTGCGATCGATGAATCAACTGGTGATTCACATTTCATTCACACGAATAAATTATCAAAATTAATCGCGATTAATATTAGTATAAGGGCTAAAAAAAAGAGCAAGAAAAATAAGATTGAATCGACGACTAATATCTTGTTAATATCTTATTAAATTTTACCTCTTGCAAAGTTGATAGAAGCCCGTGATCACCGGGTGGTAATCGTATATGCTTAAATGCATTGTAACCCTGCAAACGTTGTAGCAACAGGACAAACAGTTCGGCTCCGGCATCGGGTACACGAGTAAGCATTAAAATATGTTTATTCATTTTCGGCAAAGCTCCACGAGCAGCTAATTCCGCGAGAGAGGGGGTAACATATCGATACGTCTGCAAAATAAATCTCGTATTAATCGTATGTATAAAATATAATGATATAGTTTAATTTAATAAATTAGAACTTATATGTTATTAAACGAGAGAAAAGTAACGCCTGTAATATATGCAATCTTCCGATCTTTGGACCTCTTTTATTTTATAAGAAGCATTTTATAAAATGCATGAAGGAGAAAGATCACTTTCCAATAATTGCATTCTTTCACCGATGCACTTTCACTGCAATGCACAGCCTAAACTAGATCGGTGCGTTATTCGAAAAGAAAATTCGCTTTCGAGTTGAACTGTGTCGAAAACTTTATTAAATTTTAAATATAATATTTAAATTTATAATATCGGACGTTCAATTTACCTGATCCTTGTGGATATTATGTTCCCCAACGTATGGCTCTTTTATATTTATCCCTGAATTGTTTACAGTCTCTATAGTTGATTTTAAATTTAAAATGATGAAGAAAACTGTTAAGCAAGCAGCGACACTAGTTACCAAGCCGCGATTAAACCGCATCTCAAAATGATCGATCGTTTGTTCCTTTCGAAGGTGGCTACCTTCTTTTCTTAAATATTATTCTACCAATAATCCTGATTACGGACATTGAAAGTCTTGAAAGTCACAAATTATCGACGTTTGTGTCTACCAAGTAACTAAAGAGAATGTCAGTGGGTCAGAGACTTCGTACCGCTTAATCCCCACATCTTCATCTAAACTCCCACCAACAGTTGGAAATTGCGGAAAGGAAAACTTTTCTATGCATAAATAATTCTACGTTTTAATGAACAACAATTTCGAGATGAAATTCTAATTGATTTAACTTATAAATAAATTATATTCGTTCAAAGTTTAAAGTGAAAATTTATCGCTTCAGATTTTTATTTTTCGTTGCAATTTTATAATAGCGCATCTACGGAATCATATAGTAGGGAAGTTGGTGCAGTGAAAGGTAGCTCAAATTTTTATTATTAAACGATGATGTTATTTCTTTGCTATTCG